CAACTCAATACCCATTAAATGCAGCAACACAAAAGTAAATCAAACCAAGTATATTGAAGTTATATGATTTTTCTTCAACCAAAGAATGCTTCTTCATGAGTAATTAGACTTACAAACAAACATTTGCAATTGTCTGCTGTTAAAGGTCAAAAGCTTAGAAACATGTACCAATATTGGTGATACAATCTGTAGCTTTAGCAACCGGAATGTTAAGGTTCAGATCTGATGCAAAGTGGGTATGTAACCTATCCATCCCTCCTTAGTAGAGACCAACTGGACAATAACTTTTTTTTTAACCTCTGTAGCTCTAACATGTATTTGGAAATTGCAAGACAAAATTATTACAATTTCAGTGGTTTTTAACATGGTTTTGTTATAGAAACAACTTTGTAAGCATTGAATCTACAATGCATTACTTGAAGGAACTAACACAGTGATAGCATTGTTAGCTCTTATACCAATTTTGTAGACTGGTAAAGGGAACATAGAGCATTACTTGAAGAAGAAAAAGGAGAAGAGAAAAGTAGCTTGGGGAAAGAATATCTTGATAAATCCATAATCAAAGGCTGCCTAAAACCATTACATTAACCCATAGATAGGGAATACCAAAAACCTAAAGCAAAGAGTTCTAAACTAAATAAACAAAATGACAAATAAGTGCCCAAAAATAACCAAAATCACAATGAAGTTATAATCTCTACCTCTACCATACCGAAAGACAACCCGATTCCATCAACAAGTCAATGGAAAGTTTAACACTTCACTTTATTTCCAAAGTTTTTCTTCTGTCTAATTTCTAAATCTCAAGAAAGAAAGAAAAAAGTTTGAAAACAACAAAAATATGAGCTTTTAGAGATCTATAATTGCTTCATAACATCAACACTTTTTAAGGCATATGCATCAACAAGGATTAGGAAATGACATATTGATTAAGCTTGAGCTGTGCTGTTCCAGCTATCAGGTAAGAAGGTCATACTTTGAAGGAAGCGAAGAAGGGCTGCCGTGATGAAAATACTGGACAGGTTATATAAGACATCCCTCTGGAAAATATCCAATAGAGAAATGTCACTCCATGCAATGATGACCATAGCCTGCAATAGAACATTTCAAGCAATTATTTGCTGGCACAGGGACTTGAAGTCAGGAGCAAAAACAATGTTAATTTAATATACTAAGTACCTGTAGAGCCAGAATAAAAAACGTCCACAATCGATCAAAACTTCGGAAGATATGCCAAAATGTTCGGGTCTCAACAAAGTATGATTTGCCTGTGCTTCCCTGCCAGACCAATTATATTAAGCAAAGAAGCAACTTTCTAAAGTAATATAATCAACCTTTGGACTCTTAAGTGTCATTTTTTGACACAGTGCCTCCAAAGGCTTATCAATAGTAGTGTTTACTACTGTGGCCTTTGGGCGATGCTCCATGCATCGCTAGCCCGGGGTTCAGCCAATAAAAAAAAAAATTCTAAAGTGATATAAAGGGACAACATCTGCAGAGTATTTAAGCAGTACCTGAGTCTTGTCACGCGTTGATTTGAAGAAATCGCCATCATCACGCATGGGCCAACCCAAAGAGAAGCAATCAGATGACCTGGAAAACATAGGGCAAAATTACACTTCTTAGTACAACAGGTAGCACCAATTACAATCTCAGAATGAACTGCAATTTTCAATTTTATTCTTTCCATACCAGAAATACTCATTTAGATCATCATAATTGCACCAAGCTGAGTGAGGGGCTTTCCCATTTTTGCTCTTCTTGGCCTCCTAGAACACCATAAGCGCATCATTAAACTTTGTGTGAAACAGAAGAACCCATAGTATGACAACAAATCACAGACAAGTACCCTGTCAATGACGCGATAAATGGGCGTTATGACCTTCCGAAGGAAAGACTCGTTATCCCCACCATAAGAAGGCTTAATGTTTTCTCCAGTGACAATGCTGACATTTCCAGCCAATAGACCATGGAGTTCATATGCCATCTGAAAAAAAGAATGAAGTATACATTACAGTTGCCACATGTTACTGTGGGAATAAACACAAATGAATGAACTCACATTATGAAAAATGTAGCATAAGCACTCTGGCATAAAGCGGACATTGGCTGCTTCACCCCAGATAAGAAGATAGAGGCCCATGTAAAGTATCTTTCTTTGTTGCACTTCTTCTTGCCCTTGAGGGAGCCTACAAGAAATGAGACCCATATATTTTAGCATTACAACCTTGAGATAATGCATATGAAGCTCAACTCTCAACTCCAAAAGAAAACGCATGTGCAACAAGCCCACTAACGATATTAGATGTGGACACAAATATATCTTACCGTAAACTGTGTTTCCTTCCCAAATATTTGCACCATGTTTTGTAATTTTTGAAAAGCTTGTTCATGAATGCATCAACAGCTCGATCATCAAGCTACATAAGAGAAATGTATAATTAAGTTCAGCCACTTGCCTAAGTGTGAGAAAATGTAACCTATTTCCAAAGACAATGTTCAAAACATTATATAAAAATACCAGTTAGATATAAAAAATTAAACCCAAAATTTCAACAAGAAAAATGTTCAAATGATCTGGAGTGTGTGCACCCATGTGCATGCAGGAACAAATTATCAAAAGACATTAAATGCAACAGAGTATAATCTGACATGAGAGAGTATTACATGCCTTGTTAAGAGGTTCAGGCTTGGGAATAAGCCTTATATGAATACTGGCAAGCATCAAAATCAAATGCTCCCTCTGGTTCCTTACATTGTCCCTCTGTAGACACCAAAATAAGCCAAAGATAGTTATCAGCTTGGAGAAGTCATGCAGCAACTGTAAACCATCTATATATGATTCTTTGGATCAAGAACACATGCCTGAAACCCAAACATTGCCCTTAGCCAATCAAGAAGGTCCAACTCCCCTGCTTTCTGCCTTTGCTGCTCAAATGAGGCCGGCCAATTCAAGCCACGTGTGTTCCGCAGTGCAGCCACAGCAGCTTTATTCTGATTTACACAAAGTAGGAAACTTACACATTCTGGCAGCTATGTAGGCAATGGACATACATGTGTGTATGTGTTTATGTGTGTCTATTTATGTGTTATACCTCTTCAAGCTGCATAATGGATTGTGATGCCCCGGCAGAATCCAGGGGAAGAATGTTATAGGGAGCATAGATTTCCTTCTTTGCCTGGACATCTTTTGCTGCGGCAATAATCTGCTCATAAAAGTGCACATTGCTAAGCTCCTTCTGCCAAGTAATTCTCTCGCAAATTCTTGATAAACATACTCTAATAGCTGCATATGCATCAAGCAGTATACAACAGAATTAATCCCTAATGGATTCTGACCTCGGGAGCAACTTCTTCGACTTTTTCAGTCTTGTTAACGGCACAGAGAACTTCGAAAAGCACTCCGGCTGTCTGGTAAGCTTTGCCCAGTTGAGCTCTGTTCATAAAATATTGAAACCAGTCAAACCATTAGCTTCGAAAAAAATTATTTGGCGATCAAATGAACAAAAAAGGGAAATACGAAACCGATGTGTCCTGTGTACCTGTCTGCTTGCTCTCCCTTGTCCAGTGCTCTAACATAGTGCTCATAGTATTGTTGGTAGAAGCTCTCAATTTCTCTTGCATCTGTTTTCTTAACCCGAGAGGCAAGACTTGATGCATTGTCCTGAATCGGAGTTTTCACGTTAGTTACTCCTCATGTACTCATACCATGACTGACAAACTATATACCGGTGCTAAAATTCTTCCTTCAATTTCATGGACGTCTCCATTAGCTCAAAATTTGTTCATCATTTATCCAGCATTGTCCAGTATTAGACCCGATTTTCATCAAATAACGAAATACGTACCCCAGCCCTGCCTTCGAATGTTGGGCACAATCTACCAACCCAGATGAAGTTTGGTTTTTTGTAAACTGCAAATGACCCGATTCACCAAAACAAGGAGAATTCAAGGTGGGTTATTGATGGCATGTGATTTATGAGCGGTTCCAGACAGGGTTTCGACTGGGTATCCAATAGTTTACATGACACCAAGGGTAATCTGCGAGTGCAATTACCTAAGCCCCTAACCCCAAACCCAATGACTTTTTTCGGCGAGATGGAAGTTTATAAAAGTTATATATAGACCACTTACATGCACAGACAGCACTTTGCGACCTTCGATATATGAATATATAGAGTTTTGGTAATGTTTGGTGGTGGAGAAAAAATTATAAAATTCCACCTATTATTGGCTACCCCATTGAACCCAAAAAACCAACAAACATAAATCTGTAATTGTTTTTAAGCTTTCTAGACTTTTATTAATGGAAAAACTTATGCTTAATAATTTTTTAAAGTGGATAGATTGTAATTATATAATTGGATCGAAATAATTCTATCTCCCATGTTTAATATAATAAATAAACATATTTTTAATTTTAGAAAAAATACCAATAAATTTTACTTTTCTTTCAAAATAACTATTAAGTCTTATCATATTTATCTTACGACAAATGAGTTGTACTTTTAATAATTTGTTCCTAAAAAATCCTAAACTCCATTAATTGTTTGTTTGCCCTCCCAAGTATTTCTCTGCAAACCCACCCTGCAAACCCACCCTTTGGGCACCCCCTTCTCTGAAAACACCCTCACACAGAGACCTCTCTCTCTCTCTCTCTCTCTCACACACACACACATATTCCAGTCGTCACACACAAACACACGCGCACAGTAACACGCATGCAATTGATTTTGTGATTAATTGTTTGTATTTGTGGTTCATTTTTTTTTTTTGAGTAAATATTTGTCACAGATTTAAAATTTTTGGTGTGATGGAATATAGAAATTGGGGATTTTATCTTGAGTTGTTTGGAATTAGGGGTTGCTGGGGAAAAATTGCCTAAAATTAGGGATTTAAGGTTCTTTAATTTTGGGTATAACAGGAAGCACATCAGTTGTTGTGTGTAGAATGTGTTGCTTTTGTGAATGAATAAACAAGTTTGGGTGACAGAGCCCACGTTATCTGAGACACACAACTTATTTTTTGAAGAAAAGAATCAGATAAGTGTAATTTATATGTAACATTCTTTTGAATTTATCGTTTTTTAATTATTTTTGGTTTTTAAATATGAATTTTAGTTTAATGTGAGTTTGGATTGTAAATCCTGTGAAATCAAGTACTTGTGTGTACAATACATCGTCTTCATGTAATGTCACCCTTGGAAATCTAATTAAACTCCATTAGTATCTTAGCATCTCTAAAGATTTTTTTAGTGTATGGATTGAAATGTAGTTAAACTTTATGCAGGCTGCTGTTTTTTTTTCCATTGTTAAGTCTGGTAATCAACATTAGAAAAAGGGTTGTCTCCTTCATAAAAGTTCACAAGATCTATGAATGTAATAATGTTGGTTTTGAATACTAAATGGAATAGAATTGTTAGTTTACTCCTGTTGCGAGAAATGTGTTTATTATATTTGGTTATTTCTTAACTTACCTCTCCTTTTTTCTGTTATAACTACCCTGGAGCATAATAGCTTGCAAGTTAGAATTGTATAAAAGTCAGATATTAGCAAAAAAAAAAAGTGGAATTATTGTTAATCTGTGACCCACAACTCAAATCATGTTTTACAAGACATGAAAATATCCCGTTCGGTGTCAATGAATTGCCTATTCATTTGGAGGATCATCTTAATTTCTAAAGGTGTAGGATTTTGAGTTCTTGACTTATTGTTATAGGTTAAATAATGAAGTCAATATAAAATATTGTATGTTATATTGTTTTATGTGTTTGTAATTTGTGAAATAGGTGATATCATTTGACTTCAAAGAGTTGTGTCTACAACAGAGTTGGTGACTGACCGATGATCTACAAACAAATATTTGAAAATTTTCAAGATGATTGGTTATGCGATGATTTTTCGATTCCATTAGTGTTAATTTCAAGCTCAACATATGAGAATATTTACATAGATTTTTCTCTAATTTCAGTTATCATTTCTCCAATTATTTTTCAGGTGGGTTAGTGATAATTGTGACTTTAATTACTTCCAATTTATTTTATCAATGTATTTGCCAAGTTTTGGCCGAGAGCAAGTGTATTTTATTTATACCAAGTACTATGTAGAAAATGATACATGGTGATTGATTCAATTATTTATTATATTGTTTCTGCTATTTTTTCTGACGATAACATATATATTTTTGATTTGATTGTATTTGTTGAAATTTACATTGTGTTCTAAGTGATGAGCTCAGTAATTGGGTGGGCCGTCTTTTGTCTAATCACCGTTTGTTTTTTTTTTTTTTTTTTTGGTTATGCATGCTATCAGACACGGCTCCATTGCTAGTCGCTCAACAAATCGGACAGTTGTCCGAAACAGAAAACAACCAAAGCAGAGAAATCACCGCCAGAAATTAAAAAAAAAAAAACGAAAAAAGTAGTTAAGTACATACCCGCTCTAATCGCTGAAGAAGAGCTGTTTTGAACTGTCTCACACCACGTCCACTCGAGCTCGGATCCAACCTGTGCGCCTTCTCAAACGCATAGAACCGGCCTTCAAACCATCGAAAACAACCACAACACGCGAAACGATTTTAAAAATCACAACACCAATTATCACAAATCACAATGCAGAAAACAAATGACATAACTAATAATCTGATTGAGCTTTATAGGGTTTGTAAGGGAAGAGAATCATTTCAAAACAACGTACAGAGATAGGCAACGCGAGGACGCTCGTTCTGGATCTCGGTGGCGACGCGGAGAATGTGGCTGATAGGTTGCAGAGAAGAGGGGACGACCTCATTGTCGAAGACCTCCAAAGAGAAGGTCGTGGTGGCGGCGCTCCGCGATGGCCGCCGTAGCAGCGCCGCTGCCCCCTGCTGCGTCCCTGTTTCAGGCACTGAAGTCGACGTCATCGCCTCTACTATATAGCTGTCACGACGACTTCTTCGATTTTCTTTCCACTATCTTCGCAATCTACAATATACTCACAGCCAATTATACATAATACCGAGGTCATATATATAGAGAAACGTATTCTGTGTGCGTGTGTACAATGTGAAAGATAATGTGAGTGTGTGTGTAATACATGTATACATACATCTATATATATAGAGAGAGAGAGAGAGAGATACAGATTCTACTTATGTGTTTGTGTGTGTGCGAGCAATATGAAATTAGCAGACGTGATCAAGAATGTTCAAAATATATATATGAATTCTTGTATATAAGAAACATGAAGATTGATCACACACACACACACATATATATAAATGCATGTGTATAAGAAACATGAAGCTTGAGCACACACACATATATATACGAATGCATGTGTATAAAAAATATGAAGATTGATTACTTGTTGAAGAAGAAGCTGATCGGGAGGTTTAAGACGAGCTAGCTGGTAGCATACAGGAGGGAGAGAAGAATGAGGAGAGAGAAAGAACAGGAAGAGAGGGACAGAGGGAGGGAAAATGTGAATTGAAAGAGAAAGAGGTGGGAGAAATGGAGAGTTGGATGAGGGGACACGTGGTTGGGGAAGGGAGAGTGATGGAAGGACGCGATTTTCGGAGAGAGAGCTGAGCGGGTCTTTGTGCTGTGGATGGTGGTCCGGTTTTTGGTCCTCTGTCTCTCATGTCATGTCAAGGCTGGCTTGAAACAACTATGACTCTGGACCGAACAATTTTGGATGGTAATCAAAATTACTTCCGAATTGTAACCAAAATTACTTCAAAATAAAAATAAAATAAAATAATACATTTTACAAAATGACAAAAATATTATTTTGGAGGAATCTAATGACTAATATTAACACTCTAAATTTAATAGATAAAATAAACTTCTAAGGGTGTGTTTAAAGTGATTTTTTAAAAAATATTTTTAATGTTTATAATTTTTTATAAGTATTTTTATTTGGAAATCGTTCCACCAACACTTCTACCACCGGCCCTACCGCAATCACCACTCTCACCATCGCCACACCACCATCACCATCACTGCCACCACCATTATCGCCACCGTATCACCCCCATCGCCCCCACTATAAACGTCACTGCCACCACTACTGTCATTCTACCATAACCTCTTCTACAACAATCACTAACACCGTTCACCCACCATCATTACAACCACCCCACCACCACAACCGTTACCGTCACCTTACTACCACTGTCACTATCTCACCATCACCCCATTGCCAACATCACTATTGTCACCCACGACTGCCACCATCACAATCGATCGTCATCATCCATCACAATTGTCATCGTCTTGCATCGCCACCACCGCCACCCCACCTTCACTATCACCACTCGCCCCTCAATATAATCGATACTTAAATTTTTTTCTCTCTCATCTATCTTTTATAATTTAATTTTAGGTGTAAATATAAATATGTTTATTATTAACGATTTTTTTTATTACTTTGTGCCTTCAGACACGTGAAATAATTAGTTTTTTAATATCTTATCAAATATTAGTAATTATCTATGTCTTAAGACATAGAGTGATAAAAAAAATTATGGTCAATTAATAGACATCAAATAAAATTTGCGTTGAGAACATTAAGAAATGTATCTTTCATTACACAAAGATCTACTATTTAAACATTCAATCACATTTTTAGTAACACTACTACAAATAACATATTACATCTGATTATAACTACACACTTGAATCTCAAATCAAAATAGTTGATGTCACAAACAAAATTTCAGGAGTTGAGATAAACCATCTATTATTTTTAAAATAAAAAAATCAACAAACTTCCATTTGAAAACATGATCCAATTGAAAATATCAACTAGTGTACAACTCATGATTAAACCTTTACATAAATAATAATTACATTGCATCAATAATCTCATCACATTATGTTTATATCGTTGTATCAACTACAACAAATATAATAGCCTAAAAATCTAATACAAAAATGAATAAGATGCAAATATAAACCGAACTAACACCAAACTTAAGCTAATATGAATAACTAAGTACATTCATTCACTTTGTAGAAGTCAAATAACCTGTAAAATCAATATGTTGTTGTTAGTGCTTGTGCCAAATATGTGTTATACCTCTTCAAGCTGCATAATGGACTGTGATGCCCCGGCAGAATCCAGGGGAAGAATGTTATAGGGAGCATTGAAACCAGTCAAACCATTAGCTTCAAAAAAATTATTTGGAAATCAAATGAACAAAAAAGGGAAATACGAAACCGATGTGTGCTGTGTACCTATCAGCTTGCTCTCCCTTGTCCAGTGCTCTAACATAGTGCTCGTAGTATTGTTGGTAGAAACTCTCAATTTCCCTTGCATCTGTTTTCTTAACCCAAGATGCAAGACTTGACGCATTGTCCTGAATCGGAGTTTTCACGTTAGTTACTCCTCATGTCCTCAGACCATGACTGACAAACTGTATACCGGTGCTAAAATTCTTCCTTCAATTTCATGGATGTCTCTATTAGCTCAAAATTCGTTCATCATAAATCCAGCATTGTCCAGTATTATACCCGGTTATCATCAAGTACCGAAATACGGACCCCCGCCCTGCCTTCGAATATTGGGCACAATCTAACAACACAGATGAGTTTGGTTTTTTGTAACAACAATACTACAAAAAACTCCCGATTCACCAAAACAAGGAGAATTCAAGGTGGGTTATTGATGGCATGCGAGTGAATGAGCATGTGATTTATGAGCGGTTCCAGAGAGGAAATCCTGAGAGGACTCACACCATTACTCACAAAATTTTCTCCTTTTGTTTCTTGTTGATTCATTACTAAACTGTACAAGAAATCAACAATCGCCATGTCCCTCCCTTACTAAACTTTTACAAAGAGACCCTCTATATTAATTAATTACTTTAACTAACTTTCAATAATTTAAATCAAAAATATCACGTAACTTACTACGTCATCACCATATTTTTAACAATCAGATTTTTAACTGTCATATTTAACCCAAAATTCAACAAAAAAAAAAAAGAGAGATTAGTTTTGGATTCTTCTTGTCAAATTATCATGAAATTTTAGTAAATCTATGAGATAGAAAGAGGAAGAGCTAAAACAAAACAAAAAAATTAAAAAATAAAAACAGTTGAAATAGCAAAATAGAAAGTTGATTGAATTAAGAGAAAGAAAGAGAGTGGTATAGAGAGAGAGAGAGAGGGGCCTCGCCAGATTTGAAGAGTCAAAAAGTTGAAATGGAAAATAGAGCGTGGAATAGAGAATAGGTTGAAGTGATTTTTTGGCATTGGACTATATAAAATGACTAAGAAATGAAAAATAAAAAGTGAATTGAAGTTGTTTCCGGTGAGACGAAAGTTTATAAAAATTATATATAGACCACTTATATGGACAAACTAATAAAACCAGTCTTTTGCCGCCTTCGATATATGATTAAATAGAGTTTTGGTAATGTTGGAGAAAATTTTTAAAATTCCAGCTATTATTGGCTCCCCCATTGAACCCAAAAAACCAACAACATAAGTCTGTAATTGTTTTTAAGCTTTCTAGATTTTTATTCATGAAAAAACTTATGCTTAATAATTTCTAAAGGTGGATAGATTGTAATTATATAATTAGATCGGGGTAATTCTATCTCCCAAGTATAATTTAATAAGTAAACATAGAAAAAAATACCAATAAATCCTACTTTTATTTCAAAAGAACTATCAAGTATTATCATATTTATCTTAGGATAATTAAATCTTACTTTTGATAATTTATTCCCAAGAAATCCTAAACTCCATCAATGATTTGTTTTGTTCCAATTTTATCTTTCCCATGAAAATAAAAATTATATTTTTGTTTACAATTTTATATTCAATTATATTTATTGAAATATAATTTTTTTATCTTACATTAAAATCCAAGTAAGTTATTTAATTTTCAAAGCATCCACCCTATTGACATGTAGAAGTTCCATGGGAGTGAATCTTACATAATATAAAAGTCATTAGGTAAATAATTAGTGTGTTGATGGGAAGGATAAAATTAAAAAAAAAAATTACTATTGATGGAGTATAAGATTTTTTGGAAATAAATTATTAAAAATAGGACTTAATTATCCTAAGGTAAACATGATAAGACTTAATAGTTATTTTGAAGGAAAAATAGGACTTATTAGTGATTTTTTCTTTAATTTTTGGTTAAATTATTTTTCATTTAAAGAATTACTTTCACAAAATTTTAAGGTGAATAACTTATCAGCCAGGATAGAAAATACAGAAATACAAAGACACATGCAGGGCTGGCCCTGTGGCCCAAAGCTAAAGCAACTAAAGCAGCCGTTTACGGCCCCATTGTCACAAAGGCTCCAATAGAATAATTAGGCCTAGAAAATTCGGCATATGTGAAGGCCCACTAAAAATTGTCATACTTAAACCAGTCTAGAAATAATCAAACTCATATAATTTTTTACACTAAGAAATTCTCATTATTACTCTCTCTCTCCATTACAGACTCGACCTTGGTGCAAGTAAGAAAATACTGCATTAACTAAATAAAATAACCTACACACTACCCTCTCTCTCTCACTCACACTCACACCTATAAACGCCGCCCTAAAGCTAACAATTCCCAAAAAGAAAAAAAAAAAGCTCCAAAGCGTATGAAAAAATGATTTAAAATATGAAAACATAAACAAATATTTTGAAAAGGCCATTGACAAATATTTTGAGCAACCATAAGAAAAATATGATTTTCAAAAAAAAGTATCTTCTATTTTTTTATCAAATTTTAGAGGGTCCTATTTATATTGGGCCGGCCTTGCCGCTTTTCTATGACTTCAAGCTCACATGGGCCATGACAACACCCAATTCTGGCTCACATCAACACCACCTAAGACCCTCTCTCTTTCAAAATATTCTCATAACTAACTCTTTTTTCGTAGCACAGTCTCTCAACAAAATGGGAC